AAACTACTAGAACTAATAAATGAATTCAGCAAAGTGGCAGGATATAAAATCAACATGCATAAATCAAAGGCATTTCTGTATATCAGCAACAAAACTTCTGAAATGGAAATGAGGAAAAACACCCCATTCACAATACCCTCAAAAAAAAAAATAAAATACTTGGGAATCAACCTAACAAAAGAGGTGAAAGATTTATACAATGAAAACTACAGAACCCTAAAGAGAGAGATAGAATAAGATCTTAGAAGATGGAAAAATATACCCTGTTCATGGATAGGCAGAACTAACATCATCAAAATGGCGATATTACCCAAAGTTCTCTACAGGTTTAATGCGATGCCAATCAAAATCCCAACGGCATTTCTTGTAGAAATAGATAAAGCAATCATGAAATTCACATGGAAAACAAAAGACCCAGAATAGCAAAAGCAATTCTAAGCAGGAAGTGTGAATCTGGAGGTATAGCGATACCAGATTTCAAACTGTACTACAGAGCAATAGTAACAAAACCAGCATGGTACTGGTACCAAAACAGGCAGGTGGACCAATGGTACAGAATAGAGGACACAGAAACCAATCCACAAAATTACAACTTTCTTACATTTGATAAAGGGGCTAAAAGCATGCAATGGAGGAAAGATAGCATCTTCAACAAATGGTGCTGGGAAAACTGGAAATCCATATGCAACAAAATGAAACTGAATCCCTTTCTCTCGCCATGCACAAAAGTTAACTCAAAATGGATCAAAGAGCTTGATATCAAATCAGAGACTCTGCGCCTGATAGAAGAAAAAGTTGGCTCTGATCTACATATTGTGGGGTCGGGCTCCAAATTCCTTAATAGGGCACCCATAGCACAAGAGTTAATAACAAGAATCAACAAATGGGACTTACTTAAACTAAAAAGTTTTTTCTCAGAAAGAGAAACAATAAGAGAGGTAAATAGGGAGCCTACATCCTGGGAACAAATTTTTACTCCTCACACTTCAGATAGAGCCCTAATATCCAGAGTATACAAAGAACTCAAAAAATTAAACAATAAGATAACAAATAACCCAATCAACAAATGGGCCATTGCTGGTGGGACTGCAAATTGGTGCGGCCAATTTGGAAAGCAGTATGGAGATTCCTGGGAAAGCTGGGAATGGAACCACCATTTGACCCAGCTATCGCCCTTCTCGGACTATTCCCTGAGGACCTTAAAAGAGCGTACTATAGGGATACTGCCACATCAATGATCATAGCAGCACAATTCACAATAGCTAGACTGTGGAACCAACCTAGATGCCCTTCAATAGATGAATGGATAAATAAAAATGAGGCATTTATACACAATGGAGTATTACACAGCACTAAAAAATGACAAAATCATGGAATTTGCAGGGAAATGGATGGCATTAGAGCAGATTATGATAAGTGAAGCTAGCCAATCCTTAAAAAACAAATGCCAAATGTCTTCTTTGATATAAGGAGAGCAACTAAGAACAGAGCAGGGAGGAAGAGCAGGAGGAAAAGATTAACATTAAACAGAGACGAGTGGTGGGAGGGAAAGGGAGAGAGAAGGGAAATTATATGGAAATGGAAGGAGACCCTCAATGTTACACACATTACATATAAGAGGTTGTGAGGGGAAAGCGGGGGTGGGGAAACAAGGGAGAGATTTGAACAACAGCAGATGAGGTAGAGAGGGAAGATGGGAGGGGAGGGGAGGGGGGATAGGAAAGGTAGCAGAATAAAACAGTCACTAATATGGCATTATGTAAAAATGTGAACGTGTAACCAATGTGATTCTGCAATTTGTATGTGGGGTAAAAATGGGAGTTCATAACCCACTTGAATCAAATGTATGAAAGATGATATGTCATGAGCTTTGTAATATTTTGAACAAGCAATAAAAAATGTGACAGAAGTTTAATTTTCTAAATCATTGTGTCGATCATGGTATTGTTGTTTTCAAAAATCCTTAATAAAAGGTCTTACTAATGGAATAGAGATCTTCACATATTATTTAAGACAGATGGTACCAGATCTTAATCAATTTTGATCCTCACATAGCTCAGGAGACATTTGGTTGTCATATGTCCCCTCCCTGTATAGAACCTGCTTACTGTAAAGGCAGAATCAGTTTGTTCTATATATGGGGATGTGAGCACAGTCTATAACAGTGAAACAGGTGATTGATTTATATCTCTAAAGGCAAGAGAATTTCCCACAAGGAGCAAATAAATTTATTTGATATGTAGTCTTATAACAATTTAAGATATAATTTACATATCATACAGCTCACACAAAGTGTACAGTTCAGTGGGTCTTAGTAAATTCAGAGTTGTGCCACCATTACCACAATCAACTCTCCAGCATTTTCATTACCCCAAAAGAAAACCCTATACTTTGTTAGCATCCCCTCCATTTTTCTCCCAATCCCCCAGCAATAGGTAAGCACTACTCTACTTTCACTATATATAGATTTGCATATTCTGATCATTTCATATAAATGAAACCACACCATATATGGGCTCTTGTTTCTGCCTTCCTTCACTTTGCATGTTTTCAATGTTCATTCAGGCTGTATCATGTATCAGTACTTGATTACTTCATTCAAATACTGGGTATTTTTTCCATTGTATAGACATACCACATTTTGTTTATTTGTTTACTTTGTTGAACTTTAGACTTGCTCCAATTTGGGGCCATTATGAATAATGCTGCTGGGCACATTTGCCTACAAGATTTTGTGTGGACATATGTTTTCACTTCTCTTGGTTATCCACCAGCAGAGCTGAGTGCTCCAATGTCTTGGTGTCCACGCCAACACTTGTTCTTTTTTTTTTTTTTTTTTTTGGTATAGCTATTCTAGTGGCTTCAACATGGTATCTCATTGTGGATTCCAGTGGTATCTTCTGATAACTCATGATGTTAAGCATATTTAATGTAGCTATTGATCCTTTATATTTCTTTGAAGAACCATCAATTCAATTCTTTTGTTCATTTTTTAAATTAGTCTATTTGTCTTTTTGTTATTGAGTCATACAGTTCTTTATAGTCTGGCTACATGTTCCTCCCTTGGCTGATAAGCGATTTATAATTGTTTTTCTCTTGTTCTGAGTGTTGTCATTTTGCTTTCTTGATAGTGTCCTTGGAGGCAAAAGAGTTTTAAATAACTTTCATTCTGCCCAATTTATCTTTTTTTTTTCTTTGCTTGTGTTTTGGTGTTATTAAGAAGCCATTGCTAACTAAAATCATGAATATTTATGCCTGTTTTCTTCTAAGACTTTTATTGAGGTAGCTCTTAATACATAGGTCTTAAGTCCATGTTTACTCAGTTTGTGTGGGGAGTGTAGGAGGAAGAGATCTAACTTCATCATTTGCAAGTAGAAATCCATGTTTCTAATCACCATTTGATGAAAAAATATCTTTTCCCTATTAAATAATCTTAGCACCTTTTTCAAAAATCAAAATGTAGGCATCATTTCTGGACCCTCAACTCTATTGCTACTTTATTCTTTTTGATGCTGTTGAAAATGGTTTCCTTATCATCATTTTTAGTTAATTCATTGATACTTTATAGAAACCATCAATTTGTGCATTTTATTCTTGTATCCTGCAGCTCTGCCGAATTCATTTATTAATGCTAATGTTTTGTTTTGTTGTAAGTCAGTCTTTGGATTTTCTCTGAATTACTTTTAGATTTCTATGCCTGAGATTATATCATCTGCAAATAGAGCTTCCTTCTTCTTTTACCATGTAGATGTCTTTTATTTATTGTCTTGTCTAAATTGCCCTGGCTCGACCCTCCAGTATAGGTTGAATAGTAGTGGCAAGAGTAAACATCCTTGTCTGATTTCTGATTTTAGGGGGAAATCATTCAGTCTTTCACCATTAAGCATGATACAAGCCGTTTTCATAAATGTATTTTATCAGGTAGTGCTCTACTATTACTAGTATGTGTGTGTGTGTTTATTAAAGGGTACTGGATTTTGTTAAATAATTTTTCTGTCCCTAATGAAGGTATCAATGTGGATTGTGATTAAATCTCATCTATTTCCTTTTCCAAACGCTCCAGAGAAAGCAATTAAAAATAGCATTCACTGAATAAATGATAACTTTACAAAAAAAGGCACAAAATAACATTTTTGAAAAGGTTTGTAGATATCTAACAATCACTTTAAAATATAAAAATATAAGTATATGAGAAATTTTTCTGATTAAAACAGTAAAACTTCATTTGCTGATTATAGGAAAATATGTTCTTATAAGAAAAAAGAAGCATAATAAATTAACATATGATGATTATCACTTTTACATATATATATATGAAAAAGTACATGATAGAATTACTAAATTTCTCTGGTAATGACAAACATTCTCCTATTCTAAAAAATTTCATTTTAAAATAGAGATTTGCATTTCAAAAGCCATTGTATTAACTTAATCAAAATATATCATGCTTTATACTTTATGAAATAGCATATTAACAATCATATTTATCACACAAACGTTGAGAGTTGTGTTGTTTGGGAAGATAAAAATAATAAAATTCCCAATTATAGCTTGATTGTGCTCTGTGTAGTATATATAATGCCTTCCGCTTTAATCCGCTCCAAAATGGGCCCATAGATCTCCTTTGAGAAGGGCCCCATCAGGCCTTTGGCTTCAATTTCACCTGGAAGAAAATAAAAGTGTGATTATCATTTCAAGGATGGTGCTAAAAGTTAATTTCCCCAGCAAAAGGGAAGGTATCACCCCAGCAATAATCTCAGCATAATAGATGGTCAGAAGCCTGACATTAAAACAGCTGCTTATATGTTCCCTGCTAGACTATTACTTTGTCAAGTCACTGTAAGAAAAAGGGACGAATTTTGGATTGAAAACATAGCTGAACTCAGTGTCATTAACTGCATTAATTCCTGCCAGAATGAACAGAAACCAATCTGATTATTTGACCACTAGTACCTGTTAGGATGGCTGAAACAGTAAGTCTGGGCACTTTTCATAACTTCCATGATGACCCTAGCCTTTATGGCTTCTTCACTGTGGTTCCTCAAAGACCAAGTGAGTAGTTTAATTTGACATTATCTGATATGATTTGTAGATATGTTTGCTCATTATTTCACATTTACACATATTGATGTTTTTCACTCCCTTCCTTCTTTCATACAGGCCAAATGGAGTATCATATTCAGAGGTAATGCTTAATAATATTCAGAGGTAATGCTTATTGAATGTACACGTGATCATAAGGGGAAAGTGGAGAGTTAAAATTTGAATTCATTTATAGAGGGTTCCAGATTTCAGGTGGTTTGACATATTGGGATTTTCAACGTTATCATGGTGTGTTCAATATAAATCAATGCATTTATATGGAATAGACACATGTGATATAAATAATACTTAGGATCTTTATCTTTTCTCAGGCTAGTGATATGCCATATGATACTCTCATGCAATGCTGGGCAGCAGCAGCCAGCTACAGCTCCCTGTCAGCCATGAGATCTCCAGAGTGAATACCTGATACTCTACAGTAAACTGAGTTGCTAAGTTGATGTTCATTAGGTTAGGTGTAGTCGACGCATTTTCAACTTAAGACATTTTCAACATACAATGAGTGCATCAGGATGAAAGCCTGTGGTAAATCAAGAAGCATCCATAATCTTAAATACTAGGTACAGACAACATGCTGAAATACAAAGTTAATAAACTATGGTTCATAAAGGAAGGAAATTAACATTCCCTTGTGGGTCCCTGTATGTTGCAGGAACTTGATATGTTATTTCACTCAAACGTGACAATAGCCTTATGAATTAGGGATAGCAATACCCACTTTCAAGATGAGGAAAGTACTCAGAGGTGCTGAGTAAATGATAACCCATCACAACTATCTTATGACTGGGCTGGGTGGAAATTAGGTCTTACTCCAAAGCCTATACTCTTCCCTCTCCACATGGTGACCTCCCAGTAAGGGATCTTCTCAGATAGCTCACTTTCAGTCAATGCCAGTGTTATGCTCAAGAGTAATTATCTGATGTCCAGCACTGAATGACTTGAAGGTGATATGAAGACAGAATCAGCCCTTAAGTGAACAGAACTTACCATTAAGCAACATTTTGGCTGCCATGGCAGTGGGTAACCCCACAGTTTTCGCCATTGCTGAAAAGCCATTGAAGTCTCCATAAACCACAAGATCAATAGTTTTATTTTCTAAATGTCCAGAAGGATGTCTGATTCCAAAGCTGTCTCTCATCACAATCATGTCTTTTTCCTCAGGGCCTTAAAATAAATACAGACATTTAAAAATGCCACTATAACTCAAATAACTCATTATAACTCAAATATTATGTCTCATTTCCTGCCTGACCCCTTGACCTCTCACAAACTTTCCTTCCCATTGCATATGGTCATTAGACCATTATCCTTCTGTTTTTCAGACCCAAAACCAAGAAAAAAAAAAACTCAAGGAAATTAATCATGTTCTTTTGTTGAAGTCATGATCACTGGCTTTGCAGTCACAAGGACAGTGCTGTAGAGGCCACATACACAATTCCAAAAATGCTCCTTAAGCATTTCCTAATAAGTTATAGTAAAGCTATTTTTGTTTCCTTTCCCACAGTATTTAAGTTCATTCTTACCTAAAAATCCTCACACTCTGGAAAAACAGCTCAAGTGTCCTTTCCCTCACATCCCATCTCCCTATTTCTACTGCTTGGTTCCAGCCTGCCAATCTACTCCTCTAATTCTATTGTATGACTTGTCCTTAGGGATACTTCTCTATGACCCCCACAGAGTACCATAGGAGAGCTTCAAGGCCAAATGCTTGGAGAGGGCGTCCACAATGGAGTCAGCCTGGGGGACTTGATCATCCCCAAGTAAGCCCAACCTGAAAAGTACAAGAAGTGGCTGCTTTAATTCAAGCCCTATACATGTTCTTATTTGGGAAGCAGAACAGAGAGTCACAAATTTTATCTCAAAAGGACAGAATTGCAAGGTAACTGCCCAAGTTCTAGATCTCTCCTAAATTATAAAATGATGATGTTTTAACCTTTTGGAGTCCTCCCCAGACTACCCCAGAGATTGCTCCTTGCAGCAGAGCAGAAATAATACATTGTAAATCCACATTGTAAAAAAGCTTTTTGTGAGATTACAGATTAGCTGCTCCACTTTAAGTGTACGTGCATAACGCACAGCAGTTATGTGAATAAACATTTTAAAGTATTGGGGGGATACTCAGAGAATCTCCTACAGGAAAGCAAAATTGTACCACTTTATTCAGGAATGAATGAGAAATTTTTCAAAATGAATATTTTCCAAATTTTAGTGTCAGTGAGTTCTTCTATTCACCTACTTTTTATCTTCATATGAACACGCAGTAATCTCTCCACAGCGGACCAACATTAGAGCAGTTAGTTAACCCAAGGCAGATGCAAAATGCTCGGTTGTATCTTTACCTTTCTTTGACTAGAAAGGACCAAGTAATCATTGGTCCAATATATTTTGCTCTAACTTGAATGGGGAGTGCCTACCATTCAGCAGCCTCCAGCTGACTTTTGTCCCCTCCCAGTTTCTTGAGGACAGCTTCCTTAAGCATATCACACGTGGAAGAGCGTGAAATCCCAACTAGGTCACAGAGGAGTTGTTTCTGATTAGAAAAATAAAGATAATGAATCTAACAATATCATCCTACATGTATACATGACTACACAACCAGTGTGATTCTACATCATGCACAACCAGAAGAATGAGAAGTTTTACTCCATTAATACATGATGTGTCAAAGTGCATTCTATTGTCATGCATAATTAGAAAAAAATTTTTAAATGAGGAAAAAAGATAAAAATATAAGTTCCTGATAAAATGAGCTGAGAAATTATCCTATTAAGACATTGAACTCAAAGGTACTTCAAATTTTTAAGTTAGAAACAGCAATGTGCATGCATCTGCACCCCTACACATCTATGCATGGTATTCCAGAATGATATTTCAGTGGTAAACACTCAATACTAAGTAAAGGAAATGCCAGCATATTTCCAGCTTTCATATATCCTCTCCATCACATTTTTCGCCCACTCTTCCCCAACCTCCAGCAGTCAATTTTGGCCAGGATAAAGCGGAAGGGACTTGGCTCTGTGGTTGCCAATAGCAACCAGAGTGCTTCTGTAGGTTCAAGAGATGAGAAAGAACTAGCAGGTATAAAAAAAGATCTCAGTGGCCACAGCTTTTTCTACTTTCTAAACAAAACTTTTACCAGGCTCCCAAAGGGAAAGTCATGTTTTAAATCGGGGGTCAAAAAGTTGGTTCACAAGCCAAATGGGGCTCATCACATGTTTAATAAATAAGAATTTTATTAGAACACAGTCATGCCCATTGATTTATGTGTTGCCCATGGCAGAACTGAATGGTTCCACAGAGACTATCATCTAGCCCATAAAGTCAAAAATTTTTACAGTCTAATCCTTTACCAAAAAAAAAAACGTGTGTAAACCGCTGTTCTAGACTACAGTGATCAACATACTGGATCCACCCTAAGAATGCCTGCACCACCCTCTGCAACCTAGCTGCCTCAAACACAGGTTCTCTCTAAAGATATTTACTCATTACTATCCAACAGGTAAATTTATGATAGGTAAAACTTTAATTGAAAGGTTTACAGACGCACAAAATTACTACATTGAAAACTTTGGTCCTCTTCCCCTGTGGTACATTTCTGTTGGCATCTCTGCTGAAATATGGGCACATTCGTGTAAATTGAATGATCAGCTGGTAACAAGCTAACACTTTACATTCAGTTCCACGCCTCCAAAGTCCCTTCCAACTCTAAGATCAAAGATATGGACATAAACTGAGTAACTAAAACTCAAATTAGTCATGGTTATGAATGGCCAAGTGAGAGGATTGGAGGGATTAGGGGTTAGGAGTCTAAAAATCTGTGATACAACAGCATCTCTTCTGGATTATCATATTCAAGGGCCCAAGTGACTCCTGCTACCATTATACAGTTGGAGGATCTCAGAGCCCAAAGCAGAGAACAAGTAGGTCTATTTTCAGAGCTTGGAGGAGTGATCCAATGGTACAAGCTAACATGGAAAATAGGCTTGGTGTGTCAATCCCTGGCCTTCTCCATCCTTCAGTAGTGGTGAACAGAAGGAGACCTTTAGGGCAAGGATTTTTCTTCCTACTTCAGCTGTCAACTGCACATCTGATCATTTCAGAAGACTTTTCTGAAGAGCAGCAGACAGCACACAATTCCCAAGTGACTTACCCAGGTGAGAGGGTTGGCCTCAGGTCGAAGAGCAGGATATTCTTCTCTGTTGATCAGACCCAGTTTTACAAATCCATTCAGAGCTTTGGAATATCCCTGAAACAAGAATTAGTAATCAGCATAAGAAATTTTTCTCTTATAAGAAAACAACTTTCAAGATTTTTTGAAAAGAGGATCTATCTTTGTAATTAATTTAGAAAACAGACTGAAAATAGTCATTTGTATTGCTGATATGAATACAATAACCTCCAAGCTCAAACCAATCAGTAGTGTCATAAAAATTCTACTCATTTATATAAAATACCTTGCAAAACTTGGGCCTTTATTTCTGTTTCCATGACTATGTGAGTGGTATTTTCGGACAGCATAAGGGCAAATTTCCATGTACAATATATAGATAGATTCAGTTCAGCAGACTGTCATTTAACAGAACAGTCAGTTTTGCTCTTCCTTATCATGGAAGAAGTAACTTATGGGAATATTCTCCAAAGCACATAATCCATTCTACTGATTAAGAACTACTACCCTAAAGCATATAGGGCAAAGGAAGAAAGGTTGAGAATCGAAGTTTCTAAAATGTGGATATGATAATACCACCACTCACATTAAAGTTCTGCATATGTCCTTCAGGTTACATCTGAAGTCCTTGGTATATTATATAAAACTCATCACAATGTGTCCCTGAAGCCTGACTCTCCATCTCTAACCATCCCTAAACATCTGGGCTCTTCTGCACCTGTAGCTCCTGCGTCTGCAACATGTTAACCACCTCTCTTCACCTGTGGAATTCCTGCTCTTCCCTTGGATCCAACTCTGAAACCCCAAGTGAGTGGGTATTCCCTTCCCTGAATTCCATAGTCTTTGTGCTACCTCCACTGTGGCAATTAATACGTTATTCTGTGTCTGTTCATCTGGACCATAGGCATAGAAAGCAGGAAATTATATTTAATTATATTTATTATATCATCACAATATATTACTGAGTGTATACCCTTTATTCTCACACCCTCACACCATTTTCCTACATTCCAGGATTTCACTCTGCTAAAGGAGAGCAAATGACAGAATAATATTTTTGATTGACATATTAGGTCAAACAAACAACAACAAAAAAAAGTCTTGTTCTGTGTGCAAATCAGGGGGGAATGTGAGGCCTGAAACAGGGAACTCAGTAGCTGCTCCAATAACAGCTCAAGGATAAAGAGAGAGGAAAGTAATGTTGGGAAGCAACAAAGTTTTTAATATAAATAATAGTTCCTGGTAGCCATCAGAGATCTCATCATTAAAAGTGCGGTCAACTGGTAATTTTCATATTTCTGCAAGGTTGTAATATTCTAGCTATTCAAAGAGGAAAAACAAAACAAAAAAAGGAACATGCAAGTTTGCTTCAATGATCTGACAGGTACTAAGGATTTCTTAATATCAGAAATATAGGTTTTGTTTTGTTTTTATTTTTGCAGTTCTGGGATTGAACCCAGGGCTTCATGCATGCTGGACAAGAGTTCTCCCACTGAACCACATCCCCAGCCCCAGGAATAGTTTTATGGAGACCTCCAGAAATGAAGCTACTTTATAGACTGTCTTCAATAAACACTGAGCAAAACTGCTGGCACATTGCAGGGGCTGAAGCGTCAGAGATGAAAAACTTAATTCCTATCCATGAAGAAACTGTGGACCAGCAGAGGGTCAGATAAGACAGAAAAAATGATGCCTGGCAAACAAATAGTGATTATTGATATAAGTGACCACTGATGACCAAGCTACCATAGAATATTATTGGTGCTATGACAGAGGTGGACACAGTTATGGGAGCACAAAGGAGCAGAAATTGGCATAAACGAGAAAGGGGTGGCTCAAGGGCAAGGAGTTAGGAAGATCCCAGAGAAAGGTGTTATCACACTGGGTCTGGAAGGACAGCAGGTGACAGGCAGGCAGAGGATGTCACCAAGGCCTCCCTGTCATATCTGAATGACAGCGTCTCATCTCCCGCCCTAGAGAGTATATTTGGGTTGCTGAAGGTTACCATAGCTTGCTCAGGGCAGTCCTCAAGACAAACACTGCAACATCTTCCATGGTCAGGGGTTCCATGGACTTAGCTCTCATTCAAACACATTGAGGGTTTTAGTCAATACTTAAATCTATTAAGATCCTTTATTCCTAACTCTGCATGTTTAGCAAAAGACTATACTGAAAGCTCTCCAGAAATTCTAACTCCTGGACTCCACCTCCAAAAATGGTACTACCACATAGAACTAATCAAAGAAAAACAGATCAAGAAATCTTCCAGAGCAGGGGATGGCATGACTAGTTCACACAAGAATTTCTGCTGTGCCTACAGGCTTGTTGGGAAGCCAGGGCTTTTAGGTCTCTTAGGACATTATCACTGACATCTTGTTTAACTTTGGACAATGAGCACATCAGAGTATGACTGCCACCCTGCCCTCTGGGAGCTTATAATCTTTTGGGGGAGACAATAAAAATACACATATAAACAAAACTAACATGCTAGGAAGTAAATATTGGGAGACATAAAACCAATAGATGCTCCAACAAGTAAGAAATAAAATGGTTATCTTTTCTTTAAAAAATAAATAAATAAATAGAGGCTGTGCGTGTAGCTCAAGTGGTAAGGTGCTCACCTAGTATGCACAAGGCCCTCAGTTCAATCCTGAGAACACAAAAAAATAATAATAAATAAATAAATAGGAGTATGAACCTGGCAGACATTATGCTAGGTGAATGAGCCAGACAAAAAAGAAAAACACTGTATGATCTCACTTATATGTGAAATCCTTTTTTAAAAAATATCAAATATTAAATATGCACAGATAAAGAATAACAATGGTCACCAGGATCCTCAGGCAGCAGAGTGGCCAGGAGGGTGTTGGAAGGGGACAGAATGGGGGAGAAGTTGAACTACGGATGCAAAGCAACAGATAAAAGGATGAAGCTCCCAAGTTCATGGCCACACAGAGCTCTGAATATCAGTTTATTTTGGATACCAGCAGATGTAATAAGTTAAGGATCTCAATATAAAATCAACCTGGTTTTAGGATGGGCCCTAAATCCAATGGCTGGTATCTGAAGGAGGAGACGAGAGAATACTGAGGATGGCATGAAGACAGAGGCAGAGAGGGAATGATATGACCACATGCCAAACCTCCAGGAAGGGGCCAACCCTGCACACACCTTGATTTCAGACATATGGCTTCCTGAACAGTAACAGAATAAATTTCTGTTATTTTAAGAGATTCAATTTATGGAAATATGCTAGGAAACTATTACAGCGCTTATCCTGATCCAATTGGATCCAATTGATCCAAGCAATTTATTGAGCAGCTACTATGTAGGTACGATGCAACTGCTCTTTTGTGATCAATAAATAGGTGACGGACATTTATTTTTTTTTTTATTGTTGGTGGTTCAAAACATTACATAGTTCTTGATATATCATATTTCACACTTTGATTCAAGTGGGTTATGAACTCCCATTTTTACCCCGTATACAGATTGCAGAATCACATCAGTTACACATCCACTGATTTACATATTGCCATACTAGTGTCTGTTGTATTCTGCTGCCTTTCCTATCCTCTACTATCCCCCCTCCCCTCCCCTCCCCTATTCTCTCTCTACCTCATCTACTGTAATTCATTTCTCCCCCTTGTTATTTTTTTCCCTTTCCCCTCACTTCCTCTTGTATGTAATTTTGTATAACCCTGAGGGTTTCCTTCCATTTCCATGCAATTTCCCTTCTCTCTCCCTTTCCTTCCCACCTCTCATCCCTGTTTAATGTTAATCTTCTTCTCATGCTCTTCCTCCCTACTCTGTTCTTAGTTACTCTCCTTTTACAAAAGAGACATTTGGCATTTGTTTTTTAGGGATTGGCTAGCTTCATTTAGCATAATCTGCTCTAATGCCATCCATTTCCCTGTAAATTCTATGATTTTGTCATTTTTTAATGCAGAGTAATACCCATTGTGTATAAATGCCACATTTTTTTTTATCCATTCGTCTATTGAAGGGCATCTAGGTTGGTTCCA